AATAATAATAATAATAATAATAATGCCAAAACCAGTCTAAACATCTGGCTGACTGTCAACCAACCATAATAATAATAAAGCTGCCTTTTGCAATTGACTGATTGTGATTTTGTTGGGGCCAATGGCCTTCAGGTGGTGCTCCAGATGTTTTGGGATTGCACCCAATAGTAATAGGTGCCTTGGATGCAGTCCCAGGGCATCTGGAGTGCCACTAGGGGACTATCGGCATTGACAGGGTCACCATCAGTCAATTGAAAAAGGCTGCTTTACATGGAACAGCTTACATCCTGCGATGATACCATTAACACCAACAAACAACAACATCTTGGGAAGGACTCGATAGCTGGATAAAAATGCCAAATCCAGTCTAAACATCTGGCTGACTGTGCATGGTTGCTTTTACAATGGTATAACTAGGTATGACAATTTGGTTTTCTCAACTGTTTTAGAAAAAGAAATATCAAACTGGTTATGTAAATTAAAATAAGAGCAGAGATCACATTGGACTTCTTGCTTTGTGTGCAATATTTGATCTTTCTGAACTCCAAAATGGGAAAATCACTCTTAATGTTGTGATTCTAACAATATCAGTTAAAATCCATCACTGAATTTCAGTCTTGATCCAGATGACTTTTGGAGTTAATTTACTGTCCAGCTTACCTGCATCTGGTAGCATCATCAGAAAGGGTCTGTATGCAAATAGTGTCAGGTGCCATAAAGAAATTAAAAAAAAAATTTTTTTGGAAGATTAAAATTAACTGCTGTAAAATATTCCGTATTTTTTTGCAATAGGAATAATTCTAGATTCTGTCCCCATGAACCCCAGTTGTCAGTTAGTGAATTTTGTATGTGTGATTTTTAGCAGTTCAAGTGAGATTTTAGGCTAGAAAGCCATGCAGAAACAGAATTGAGTTAAATTAGGGCTATAAATGAATACAAATAAAATAATATTTACAAATTACAAATTCAAATTCCAGTTACAAATTCCAGTTATAAATACCACAAGTTCACAAACCTATCTATCATTACTACTTTTTAATATACAAGAAGCAAATATGATAATGTTGATTTTGGTTATGAAGAAACATTTTCAGAGTTACCTGGGAATTCCTTTTACTTGAAATGCAACATATGTCCTAGCTTATTAGCCACTGCTGGTGACAGACATTTATGCAAATTGTAGAAATTTGTTTGGTTTTCAGATTCTAAGTCAACAATCATCACTTGATGACTGTTATGTTATCATTTGATTACTGAATGGAATTTTGGAACTACCCTATTTCTAACTCATCATTTCTTTTCTAGATATGGATGACTGTTTTCATTGTTCAGAAGATCAGTACCCAAACAATAGCCAAGATTTGTGTCTCCCAAAAGTTTTAACATTCCTGATGTACGAAGAATTTTGGGGAACTATTTTAGCCAGCTCTGCTCTTTTCTGTTCTTTCATTACGGCTGTAGTCCTCAGGATTTTTATTAAACATCAGGACACTCCTCTAGTTAAAGCCAATAACCGGAACCTGACTTACATTCTCCTCATTGCTATCTTGTTGTCTTTTCTTTGTGCCTTGCTATTCATTGGCCAGCCATCCAAGGTGGCATGTGTCCTTCGTCAAACTGCTTTTGGGGTTATCTTCTCAGTGGCCATTTCTTGTGTTTTAGCCAAAACTGTCATTGTGGTTCTCGCTTTTATGGCCACCAAGCCTGAGACCAAGATCACCAAATGGGTGGGGAATAAACTTGCCATGTCTGTAGTATTTGGCTGCTCTTTTATTCAAGTTATGGTTTGTACTACATGGCTGACAACTTCTCCCCCATTCCCAGATGCTGACATGAGTTCAATGGCAGAAGAAATAGTTCTGGTGTGTAATGAAGGATCCAACTATATGTTCTACTGTGTCTTGGGCTATTTGGGCTTCCTTGCCTTTGTTAGCTTCATGGTGGCTTTCTTAGCAAGGAAATTGCCTGATGCTTTCAATGAAGCCAAGTTTATCACTTTCAGCATGTTGGTCTTCTGTAGTGTTTGGTTGTCCTTTGTCCCAGCGTATCTGAGCACGAAGGGAAAATATACAGTTGCTGTGGAGATCTTCTCCATTATAGCCTCTAGTGCTGGGTTACTGATTTGCATCTTTTCTCCCAAATGCTACATCATTGCGTTGAGGCCTGATCTGAACAAAAAAGAAAAACTAAGAATAAAAAACAGTACAATAATATAAACCTGGATGACCTTTAATCCTTCTGAATTAGTTAATAGTACTTTAGCCATGTATTGATTTTGTTTGTTTGTTTACTGATAAATAAATAAATAAATAAATAAATGTGATTCTCAGTGGCTTACAAAATTAAAACAACCTCACCAGACAACCCCTGATACCTAAGAAAACATTGATTCAACTCACCCACAACAACAGCAGAGCTCATCCAATCTCTGACCAAAATGCCTGGGGGAACAGCCAGGTCTTCAATGTCTTGCTAATGGCTAACAGGGTTGGGCCATCCAAATCTCCTGGGCAATGCTGTTCCATAGGTCAGGTGCTGCCACTGAAAAGACACGACTCCAGGGACCAAGAAGATGACATTGTTTAATAGAAGGGATTTGATAGAATTAAGTTGTGTGGGACTTATTCCTCAATATACCTGAAAAAGAAATTAGTCTAAATCATCAAGTTAACAAAAATAGAAGGAAATGGATTACCTTCCTTGTCACTTTAGTAATATACTTGGCACTGAAACATCTATGTTCCTTGTCTTTATTTCTGTTGGTCTCTTTTAGTACTTTGGAACCTGTACTGTATTTTGGAATTATGCTATTTAAGTAGAACTGCATGCACAATGTATAATTAAAATGTAGCAAAAGCAATATAATCCCTAATTTTTTCATTCGGCCATAAGAAGGGTTGGAGAAAACTCACAGTTGCCTAGCTGAATGTGCACAATTGGATATTTGCAAGAGTGATGTTGGGAAGCATATAAATTCCCTTACAAAAAGGAGGACAAAAGGTTTTATGACCTTAGTTGTTACAAAGAGGCATGTCCTCTGCTATAGGATTAGAAATGTTTCATGTAACACCAGAACCAACCATTGAACACCCCCAATATTTCCAGGAAATGATTGGTAGATCTCAAATCCTTTATTTAGCAGCATAAGCATCTCATGTTTGCCATGCATACCAAAGACCTTTTTTGTCACTGACCAAGTGACCAAAGGACAGGAGAAGTGCCATTTTGGTGGGCTGTTAGATGGGACTTCAAACTACTCTTCCCTCCAGTTCTGTTTTATAAGCCATGCTGGATTACTTCAGCTTCATTTCTATGGTAATATGTGTCCAAGATCAATAAGAACCAAAAGACCATTCACACAGCATGTTATTTTCCTTTCCATTTTCTATTGGGTCACTGTCCTGGTTGTCAGTTTTTATCGGGTATACACCCCTGGAGAAAAATGTCCATAATTCTTGATTGTTTTTGAGATATAAAAATCATAACATTTTGAGATTGACATGTTGATGTACACATCAACATCTTCAGTTACTGGGTATAACTCCTTTTGTTTATAGCCATCTCTAGTGAAGACCTAAGCCTTTCCTTCCTCAGCTCAGTATGTAAATAGCTTTCAGCAAGCGCTTACAGAAGCTCTAGAAAGAGGGGGCTGTTACTTTAAGAGCATAATTTGAAATTGCAAATGGTCTCTTTATAATATTCCTCAAACACTGTCTAGTTTAGATAGCAAACTTCGCAAACTTGCAATTCCTTTATGTTCAGTTGTAATCTTCAAATGGAATGTTAAAGCCCACACCTTCAGGATGCCGATACAGTACCTTAAGTAGGTTTATTTCCAGGGGTTTCAGATAATTTACAAGGCTTTCTATTTC